GTTAGGGTGCCTGTTTCATGTTGGACAGACCGACAGGGGACTTGGCCGTCAGGCCACCTAGGGTGCTCCCTGAAACCGCTGCGAATGACCACTGCGCAGAAGAGAGAAAAAAGGAAAAGAGGAGGTGGCAGGCGTCAGAAGTGAGCCAATGGAGAGCCGTGAAGACATCCGCAAGTATCTCGATGCACAAGCAAACACTGCCAACACGCCCCTCAGCAGCCGTGCATTTGCCGAGCACATGGACGCAATCGACCCCATTCGCGACGGGCGCACGCAGTTCTTTGTGCCAAGCATGAAAGATCTCGGCGTGCGCGACACTGACAGTGGTGATGCAGATGGTGAGTGCGTGTACCTCTGCGGCAACTCGCTCGGCCTGCAGCCGAGGGCTGCTCGGGCTCTGGTGAATGAGGAGCTCGACAAATGGTCGAAGAAAGGCGTCAACGGGTAAGGAAAAGGCAGTCAGGTCACAGAATTCACTGCAGTGTGTGTTGTGGTGATGCCGATGCTTGCTTACAGGCATTTTGAGGGCGAGCGTCCGTGGGTGTCGATTGACGACAATGTGACGCCGCTCGTCGCCGAGATTGTGGGTGCGCTGCCGCATGAGGTGGCTGTCATGAACAGGTGGGTAGTGGGTGGGTGACGGCAGGCGCCATCCATCGATCATCATCTTCTTCTCCTCTGTGTTGTTGTGGTTTGTGTGGTCAGCTTGACGGTCAACCTTCAGCTGATCATGACGACCTTCTACGAGCCGACGCAGGAGAGGCACAAGGTGCTCATGGAGGCGCAGGTGAGTGAGCTGTTCTGTCCGTCCGCATCTCTCTCTCCCCCTTACCCAATCTCACCCGTGTGACCCATTCAGGCATTCGGGTCAGACTGGCACGCTGTCGCCTCTCATGTACTCATACGCGAGCACATCGACGTCCATCCATCCATCCATCCATCCATGTGTTCCCTTGCACAGGTGGAGCTCAACGGCTACGATCCACACGAGTCCATCATGTCGCCCGAGATGGACAAGGACGGCCTGCACACCACGGCGGCGTGGCTGTCGCTGCTCGACAGGGAGGGCGAGAGCATCTCTGTGGTGCTCATCGGGGCGGTGCAGTACCTCACCGGCCAGTTTTTCGACGACATTCCAACCATCACTCAGAAGGCGCATGAAAAGGGGTGAGGGAGTGGTGGATGCGACGTCTTTTTATCGGGCTCATTCTCTCTCTCTCTCTCTCTGTGTGTGTGTGTGTGTGCGTGTGTGTGTGTGTGTGTGTGTCTGTGTGTGTGTGTGTGTGTGTGTGTGGCTTGTGTGCAGCGTCCGGGTGTTGCTGGACTGTGCGCATGCCGTGGGCAATGTGCCGCTGTGTCTGCACGACTGGCAGGTCGACGCGGCCATCTGGTGCCATTACAAGTACTGCAACGCTGGTACTACTACACACCTGTCAAACACACTCACACACACACAGCCAACACACACAGAAAGCCAACACACACATGGCCCATCCCTTTTGTGGAATGCAAAGGTCCTGGTGCGATTGGCGGCTACTTCATCCACGAGAAGCACACCAACTCAGACACGGTGGCTGCTGCTTCTTTTGTCAACGGCCACCAGCGCAACAAAGGCGACAGCAAGATCTTCCAGCCGAGACGACTTGCAGGTGAGGTGCGCCAAGAGAGGTGTGTGTGGTGGACGTCATGTGTGTGTGTGTGTGCGCGTGTGGTTGTGGGTGCGTAAAGGTTGGTGGGGCGCCGATCTGTCAACGCGCTTCTCGATGAGACACGAGTTCATCTCAGCGACCGGTGCGGCCGGTTTCCGGCTGTCCAACCCTCCCGTCCTCGAGACTGTGGCGCTGCTCGCGAGCCTCCGCATTCACACACAATACGGAATGCAGGTGAGCGAGAGAGAGAGAGAGAGAGAGACATATGGATGCGATGCCTGCCATGGGTGTGTGGTGGTTGGTCGATTCGGTCAGGCTCTGCGTGGCAAGTCTCTGTTGCTGACGGGGTACCTCGAGCACCTGCTCGAGACGATGCTCCAAGTAGATAACAGCCGCACAGCACACCGACCCACGCTCTCAGCTCATGGACAGGACAGCCATTGATCTGTGTGTGTGTGTGTGTGTGTCAGTCGCACGTACACATCCTGACGCCGCGTGAGCCCAATCGCCGTGGCTGCCAGCTGTCATTGGCCTTCCCATCACTGCCGCCGTCAACGCCTTTTGAACGGCTCTTCAAGACACTCGCTGACAAGGGTACACCCACACTACACACCACACACCCTTCAAACCTATGGATTGTGTGTGTGTGTGTGTGGTTAGGTGTGGTGGTGGACCATCGTGAGCCGAATGTGATCCGGGTGGCGCCCACGCCACTGTACAACTCGTTCGCTGACGTGTGGAGGTTTGTCGATATTCTCGCGCAGGCGTTGGGGGTGCAGTGCGAGCAGTGAGTGAGTGAGTGAGGTGCATTTCCGTGTGTGTGCGCTCGTTAAAGACCTTTGTGCTGCGCTGTGCTGCGCGTGACTTGCAATTGTGAGGATAAAGGCTTGACTGAAGGAAGCATGGATGGGCACAGGAATGGACATGTACACACCTGGAGTCCTCAGGCAGAGCTGTCTTGACACTCACGCGAACACGCAAAGACACTCAGACCCTCCGTCTCGCTCTCTCCCCCTTCTCAACTGTCTGTCACCGAATTGCCCAAACCACTCGCCACTCACCGCACACACACGAGATCAGGCGAATTACCGCCTTCAAGGCGTCCGTCCCATGACAGGTTCCACCCACCCCCTGTGTGCTGTGCTGTGCTGTGCTGTCCTCATCGTTTGCCGTGTGTGTGAGCGGTGAGGAAGTAGAGCCGGTAGGTGAGGAAGAGGGTCGCCTGGGCCGCACACAGCAGCCCCATCAGCAGGTACCGAAATCGCGGCAGCGACACCGTCAGATCCCTGATAGATAGCCACACAGAGGGAGGGAGGGAGGGGGGGAGGATGTGCGTGTGTGCTGTCCTGGGGTCGGTCCGTCAATCTCTCTAACGTACGTACGTGTAGAGGTTGATGCAGATGAACGAGATGGAGATGGCCATGCCGACGGACACGGCAACCCACTTGAGCCACTGCACCACACAGACAGACACACACACAGACGCCACACTCGCTCCGTGACCCAGTCGTTGCATCGCTGTCTCTCCGGTCGGCCTGCTCACTGACCTCGAGTGGTGCGATGCAGATGAGAGAGACGGGGATAAACACGAACAGCGAGTACCCATACACGCAGATCAACTGACAGGCGCAACCCAACGCAACCCAACGCACAGACAGATGCGATCAGATGGGATGGGCGCAAATCAAATGCCTCCCTCCCTCCCTCCCTGGCCGCCTCCCTCTCACTCATTCACTCACTTGTCTGAAGTTGATGGAGTCTGATCCCGAGCCCGTGAAGTAGAGCAGCAGCCGAGACACCAATGGCACGCCGAACAAAAAACCGTACACCTGGTTGACCACACGACACACGCACACACCCCACAATGAACGACTGAATGACAGACACCTTGTTTGTGCGGTGCGTGTGTCTGTGTGGTGTGTGTGTGCATTTGTGTGTGCCGTGCCGCCAACACAACCAACGCACCACTGTTGCCGCGACGGTGAAGAAGACAAAGTCCGTCGACTTCATCTGCTACATCAGACACACACACACCATTTATTCTTACTTATGTGGTCGGTCGGTCGAGTGAGTGAGTGAGTGGGTGGTGTCCGCGCTTATCTGCGTAAGTGCGTAAGTACCTTCTGTTCGATGAACAGGGCGTAGTTGCCTGTGGCCGCGAGGAATATGATGACCGTCGTGGCGATCCAGAAAGGGCCATAACTGAATGACACACACACACACACACACACGCACACACACAGAGAGAGAGAGAGAGAGTGTCCGTTCTTCGGTTGATCAGGAGTGTGTCCTCTGCTGTTTGTTTGCTCGCTCACAAGTCAGGGTTGGTTCTGAAGTCCGACTCGCCGCCACTCGACACAGACTTGAACGGTACCGTGGCCAGCATGATGCGCTGCGGACAACAACCAACACAGAAAACTCGCATTCATTCATTCGCCCTGGACTGCCTCGCGAGACTCACTCACCTTGACCACATCTGCCGTCGTGACATCGAAGAACTGCTGCATCCAACTGGTGCGCACACACACACGCACAACACACACATGTACACAATGCATTCAGTCAGTCCTGCTGTCGAATTTGTTTGTTTATGTGTGCGAGTGAGTGCTTACGCGAGGTCAGGGCAGCACCGGAGTGCCCGCACGTCCCGCCCCCCCGTCAGCGACACTGTGGGTGCCTCAGACCGGCCACCCGGCTCGCTGGTGAAGCTGTCCATCCTACCCTGCCAGCCACACACACACAGAAACCGTCACTCGTTCGCTCTCTGAAGAGGTATCAGTTCTCTGCAGCAGAGGACACAGATGCGTACCTCGATAGCCGTCTGCTGCGACGGTTTCTGCGCCCCCTTTGACATGTCCATCATGCCGCCCCGCGAGGCGCCTGTGGCGGGGCCGTCGAGGCTGCCCGTCAGCGGCCGGCTCTGGCTGTTGAGATCCAAATCCTACACCATCCATAGTAATGATGCCGTCAGCTGTGTACCGACACGCACTCCCTCTCTCTGTCCTCGCGTGTGTGAGCTTCTGTTGGTGCCTGGCTGACCTCAAAGTTGACTTGGTAGACGTCGCCCGAGTTGAGAGCGCCGGCTCCTCCCCTGCTGCTGCCGGGCGGCTGGTGCGCCTCGGTCTCCATGGCGGGTTTGTCCCAGGTGGTGACGTTGGTGACAGCATTGTGGTAGTAGGGCTTGCCGTCGTCGGTCATGTACATGGTCCAGTTCGGGGGGAGCCCTTCTGTCGACATCCTGCCGCCCGATGTGTGTGTGCTGACCCGAGTGACTGACGCGCTGCCGGCGTATGTTTTGAAACAGGCAGATCTGACAAGCCTCGAAGCTGCTGTGGTGTCACTGCCCTGCAGGACCACCAGAACCACGATGCCGACGGAGAGAAAGGCGAGCTTGAAAACCTCCACTTTGTGAGCTCGCAGATTTAAGTAACGCCTCAGTTTCCCTCTTGGCATCGGCATAACCCCGCGCGCGCAACCCCTCTGACCCTTCGACGTCTGTCTGCTGATCTCCCGTCGCGATGGCTCACAGCTGCTCCGAGTCGGCCGGTGAACGCACACACCACACACAGGCAGGGCAGGGCAGGGCAGGGGAGAAGCAGGGGAGAGGCAGATCTGCATCAGGCAGGGCAGGGCAGCAACCGGGGAGTGGGAACGGGCAAGGAGGAAAGGCGGCGAAATGCATATGCATGTGTGTGTCGCATGTGCCACGTGTGTGGTTGTCGCGGTGAGGGAGATGGGGCGTGTGGTGAGGGGTATGGGGTGCTTGTGACAGACAGAGGGGCGGCAGACCGGTTGTGTGCTCACATGCGCTCGTTCAGGCAGTCGTGTCTCTCTCACGCTGATGGGCTCTCTCCTTGTGTGTGTGTGTGTGTGCTTGTGTGCTGTGTGTGGTGTGCAGTGTTCTCGATGCCTGCCGAGAAGTGCTGGCAGATGATCCGCGACTTCGACTTCCCAGGTACCACCATCACCTGCCCCTTCCACTGACCACCATGCACACACTTGGGAGTGTGTCTGTGTGTGCGTGCGTGTGTGTGTGTGTGTGTCAGCCAAGTACATCGGCACGGTCGAGAAGGTGGACATCCTCGAGAAGGCCGGCCTGACCTGCGGTACCCACACTCGTTGACATACCACAGGCGCACACAGAGAGGGGGGGGAGGGGTCAGAAACCATGGATCTGCGTTCACTTGTGTGTGGGTGTGTGGTGGGTGCGGTGCGGTGCAGTTGGTGCGGTCCGCGCCGTGACGTGGAAGACCAAGGAAGTCGAGAAGCACCGGTGCGTGGACACGGCCACACGCAGGTATCTGTGTGTATGGTTCTGTCTGTGTGTGTGTGAGTTCAGTCTGCTGGCGATCGATGACCTGGAGCGCAAGATCTGCTGGGAGGTACGTGCAATTGACACACAGACACAAACATATGGATGGATGGATGGATGGATGGATGGATGGTCTGTGTGTGTCTGTGTGGATGGATGGGTGCAGTTGGTGGAAGCCGAGCCCCCTGCAGAGGTCAACAAGCCACACCCCACACACAGCACACACACACCCTCTTCATTCATTCGGCAACCAATGGTGTCTGTCCTCGTTGGTGTGTGTGTGTGTGTGTGTCAGATCACTGGCCGCATCAGCACGGTGAAGGTGGACCGCATCACGGAGAACAACAGCTGCCTCGTCACATGGAGCTGCGAGTTCGCCGCCGACGTCAAGCCAGACCTCCTCAAGTTCACGCAGAAGTCGCTCAAGGTACGTCCTTCTGTCTGCCGCCACCATCACACACGCGCCAACACTTGTGCCTCGTGTGTGGTGCAGGAGGACTTGGTGGAGATGAAGGGCAAGATGAAGTAGACGATGCCGACACACGCACACACTCACACACCGACTGACACCCCTCTACCCCTCTGTATTTTCGTAGCTGACGCATGCACCTCCGCTGTTTGTTTGTGTGTTTGGGTGGGCGGGCGGGGCGGATGAGTGCGCGTGTCTTGCGTGTGGGGGGGCTGCATGGTCGCCTGGTGGATGGACGCCTTACGTCGTGTTGTGTTGCGTTGTGGGTAAGGAGAGACGACAAGAACAGAGAAAGGGGGTATTTATCCATGTGTGTATGACTGGCTGGCTGACTGACTGACTAGATCTCTCGACGCCCGTTCGTATGTCATGTCGTGTCGTGTTTGTTGGCCTGTCCGTCGAGCAATCCTCGGTAGATTTGCCTCTGGACACCCTACACGGAGATTGTCCCATCTCAGTCTCACGTGTTCGGTGTGCGGGGGGCAGCACACGAGGGATTGTAAAACGGACCGCCACACACTCTCTCTCTCTCTCACACACACACACAGAGAGAGAGAGAGAGAGGCGTACCAACAACCGTCCTTTTACGTGGTTCTCGCTTGCGCAGCTGAGTGGGTGGGTGAGCATGTTGTGTGACCGGTAACTTCTCGTCGGCGAAGGTATCGCATCTGTCTGCACTGGCAGGACAGGTGCGTTGCCGTCGCCGAGGCGGAGAAACCGGTCACACAACACAGACACGACACCTGCCCACTCAAAGACAGAGAGAGATAGTGAGAGGTAGACAGACAGTGCCCCTCTGGATGGATGGCTGGCTATATTCGCGGTTTTTGTATTTTTCCGTAGCCCCCGCACACAGGCACGCCCCCACAACCCCTGCAAGTTCATCGGATACGTCGGCTACGTACGTTTTTCGCTCTGTAGGTGTGCACACGTGTCCGCATGCCCGTCGGTGTGTTTGGTGGCTGGCTGTGTGGAGGGAGGTGCATGCTATTCTTTTTCTGTAGTTGTGTGTGCGTCGGATTACTAAGACGGCAAAATAGGGCAAGAGAGAGAGCAGCGGAGCAGCGGTTCGCACGTACGTAGCGGAGTGGACGGGTGAGTGATTAGCAGGGAGGCGTTTGTTAGTACTTATTAAGACTCTTCCCGCGGACAAAGAGACTGATTAGTCAATGAAGAGGTTCATCGTTTGATAGATCAAAGCTCGGCACACGTGCAGGACAGGGAGAAAGTGCATCGTCGTGTCGGTCTAAGACTTGCAAAAGTGTTCATGTCTTTCTCCTCTGCTTTCGTCTGGGAGATGCCGGTTGGGCGGGCTGCGGAAGGACAAGTCACGCATTGTGAAGGCATCATGGACGACGATGTATCCTTGAGATGCCATGATCGCATCCACCCGCCCTCCGTTGGAGGAAGAGAAAAAGAAATCGTCGAGACGGGCGAGAATTGGAGGAGACGGGGGTCAGGAGGAAACCAGAATCCGCCACGTCCTCCCGCGAGCAGCTGCAGCGTCCAGTCTGCCCAAACAATTCGGTCTGCTGAAATTGGTGTGCGGTTGGACTGCAAAATCGATGAAAAAATGGCCACTTCTGGACACCAAACTAGCTGGACACTCCTGGCGTGTATGGAGCTTTGCAGAGGTCGCCAACACCGATAGCCTCATTCAGGTGAATTCAAGCAAGCTTGGACCGTAGTGATGAATTCAGACCAATTTTGGCTCAGACGATGCCGCACCAGAGAATGTGGAAGAGCACAGGAGCACAGGAGCACGCCAAGGGAGCCGACGGGGGAAATAGAAGGCACGGTAAAAGATGCAGATGATCCCGCATCTTTCCTGCTCCTCGCTAAGATGTCCATCATCTAGTAAGAAGAGACACAACAGGCGCAGCCGCATTCCCTTTGTCTATTTGTGATCGTGGCGATGCTCTGGGTGCATCTCAGCGGGCTGGACGGGATGGACGAGGCGGCTGTGAAGCTTGCACAAAAATACGCTGAAAAAATGCATCGATCTCTGCAACCAGGTGAGAAAAAGAGAGGAAAAGCAGTGGATCCACCTGGCCCTCACCAAGAACAAGAACGTAAGCACACACATCGTGGCCACCGGTGACTGTTTGCTTTTCTTGCTACTTCTTCTGTCAGATCCACCGTCTATGTACATCATGCTGGCTGGCCTTCACTGTCTTGAGCAGTACAATTTCGCCGTGGGACTTTCGTGTACAAACAAGGAAGAACAGCGATGTCTCTGGTCCGTGTTTGTATGCGTGTATGCTTGTGTGGGATGGAATACACATCAGATGCACAGAAAGGATGGCTCGCTGCCGTCGGTCGTGTTTTATTGAAAGTGAGGAGCCATGTCATCAGAGCTCAAAGCCTGGGCACCGTTGGCAGTGAAAGGTGATGGCGATGACGGGCAGACACAACGAGCTTTCACACATGGTTTTGCATGGGATGCAGGCAAAGCGACCTAGAAGCCGAGGGAGTCTGGCGAATTATGGAAGAAGACATGGACGAGGGGCTTGATTTTACAGAAGGTGAGTGACGGATCATGGGGAAAACAAAGAGGAAAGTTGCTGTGTCTCTCAGGGCTAATAGCGGCACTGCCTGCACTCATGGCGGATTTCTGGAGCTTCTTGGGGGCGGGGGATAGACCTGCAGAGACCGAAAGGTAGACCACCGAAGCGTCGATTTGTCATACTAATCTCTGACCTCAACCTTTTTCCTGTGTCGGCAGGAAAGCCGGCCTGACGGAGTGATGTCAAGCTGGCAAAATACCTATCGGCGGAGAACACATGGGACCCCAGCCCTGAAGTGGTCAGGAGAAAGGCAACCACTTTATGCGCATCTGTCTATCTACCGCTTCCATTCAGAAGGCGCTACTACGACTCCTAAGAACATACGTGGAGCTTTACATCATGTAATAACCAACATGTAGTCTTGTATATCTGGAAGTGTCCTTGTCTCTCCAGAAACAACGTCGACGAGCGTGATGAGGCTGTCACCATCCTCCAAAGAAGCCATCTGAAGCAGTAAGGAGAGCAGGGGGGCTCCCTCGTCCTTCACAAGCGTCGCCCTCGTCCTTCACAAGCGTCGCCGCTCTTTCCGTCGCTCTTGTCGTTTAGTCCGGCAAGGTTGCGTGCGCGGATGTTTGGGAGGGGTGATATTAGCGACTCAAAGCTCGGCAGAAACCAACAGGCCAACAGAAAAACAAGAAAACCTGTGTGTCTGTGGGTCCTTACTGGTGAATAACTGCTACGAAGACGTATGCGCCATCATCGAAGGTGAAGGTGAGTATGCTTCAAGTTTCATCGCGTTTGTGGTCAGAGACAGGCTCCTTGTGTTTGCAGGGCCTATCACATCATTGACAGAGGGAGACAGCAGGGTTGGTGGTATACTGCGTGAAGGCGCTGCGCGGCGGCCGTCGGGCTGCAGAACTTGAGGCGAGGAAGGCGTGGCTGACGGTCAGCAGACGTCAAGTAACTATTCATCATCTACCTGCCTTGCTTGTGTCTCACAGCGCTACAAATCAGAGAACGCCTCGACGTGGCAGCAAGATGTGCTGGCCCTGCTGGGAGGCCAGCTTACGTAAGACCTGCAGCACAGTCACTGATACACATAGGCGCTCGTTCTCTTTGCAGAGAAGACGACACGCATTTTGCGTGGATACAGACGCTATACCACGAAAAAGCCTTCCGACCTGGAGCAGGTAGGCCGAGAGAGGAGAGCACCTTGCGGCTTATGTATGTGTACCTATCGCTCAGATGGAAAGGAAGCTCTCCTCAGTGGCCGAAGCCCGCGAGACCTGGGCGCGCCCCGCTTTTTTCCTAAGTAAATCTGACATAAGTCGTCTTCCTCTTTCGTCAGCGATTGCCCGGGACCATTATTGGAAGACACGGCTCTGGGCGGGGCTTCCAGCGCAACCGCCGCTACATCGACACCGCAGGTGCCAGGCGTATCTACTTCTGAAAATACTCAATCACCACAAGGAGATAAAAGTACTTCATCTTCATTCATCTTTGTGCTCCGTTCCTCTCAAATCACCTTGTCATTCGGTGGTGATATGCTCAGTGTGAGTGGGTGGTGCCGCTGACGCTAAAAGGCCTGCTGTGCCTGCCCGGACACACCAGGGAAAGGGCCCGATTTCTGCTCGATAAGCTACAAAGGTGTCACACCTAAGCGGCCTCCAGGATTTGCAACCAAGCAGTTTTGACGTATGTGTGCAGGGGCGTCAATGAGATCAAAGCAGATGATGTCAGAGAGGACCTTCGCGAGTGGCTGAAGCAAGGTGAGGACATCACGTATGTCTCTGTCTGCTTCTGTTCTCTCCGTACATGTGTGTCGCATGTGTGCAGAGTGGCGATCGATAGGGAAAGGTCCGATGGCGCTTCCGACGCCTGACGCCTCACGATACCTGCGACTCAGTGCCGGTGCAGTCATCGACCTCGCCATCGGCCCGCTTGACTTCCTTCGCTATCCAGGCGCTCCCATCTATCTTTACTACGCGCTGGCACTTCCACCACCTCGGCGACAAGCTGAACCGCACCCTCAAGTACCCTCAAGGCGCTGCAGTCGCCAGGGATGGGGGAGAAGCCAGGGTCAACTGGCTTTTTATGGAGACCGATGACAGGCGATGGCAGGCGATGGCTGCACTCAAGGCAACAACGACAAGAACACGAGGCCATGGGAGCGAAACTGCATGCGTGGGCGATGAGGAAGGGTATAGAGACTCTTCGTATGACGGTTTTCTGTCTGTCTCTAGTATCGCAGTGACCTCTCTCGTGTGTGCGTGTATGTGTGCGTGTGCAGAGGCCAGCCAGCCAGCTGCAGCAGCGCCGCAGCAGCCCCTCCATCGGCAGCGGCGGCAGCTCCAGACGGAGCCAGCAGGGGGAAGAGGGGCCGGTCCACGCGGAAGAAGGGCCAGTCGCCTTCCCCCAAAAAAACGGAGGGAGCGGTCGCCCTCCGCGCAGCCTGCGCGCGAACCGCCTGGCGTCCGAACAAGGCGACATTCTATTCGAAGAACGCAGGTCAGCAAGCATTGACACTGGTCAGGGGCTTCTCTCTCTCTCTCTCTCTATCTGTGTGTGTGTGTGTGTGGATCTTGGTACGTCTCTCTCTCTCTCTCTCTCTCTGTGTGTGTGTGTGTGTGTGTGTGTGTGCAGCAGCGGCGGTGCGGCAGCGGGCGCACTGGCAGGGGATAGGGAAGTGTTGAGTGGTCGGGACCAATATTGGAAGACACGGCTCTAGGCGGGGCTTCCAGTGCAACCGCCACTACATCGACACCGCAGGTGCCAGGCTTATCTACTGCTGAAAGGCTTGCTGTGCCTGCCCGGATACACCAAGATAAGGCGCAAAGGTATCACACTTAATCGGCCCCCAGGATTTGCAACCATGCAGTTTTAGCGTATGTGTGCAGGAGCTTGAAGAGGATCGCATCACATGATATCTCATCAGAGAGTGCGCTGAACCAGCGTAAGAACATTACGTATCATCTCTGTCTTGTTCTGTCGTCTCACACATGATTGTGGGTCGGCATGTGTGTATGTCTCGTCCGCACAGGCTCGTCTGCGGCCGACGCTGCCCCAATTAACAACCCCAAGAAGCGCACGACGGGTCTGACCAGATGGCTGGCGCGGGTGCAGGACGCAGCAGCACCCCAGCAGCAGCAGAAGCCCATGCACCTGCTGGACAGCCACAGGCCGCCAAGAAGCGCCGTGTCATCTCCTGGGCGGCCTCTGCCACCACGTACAACACCAAGAGGCCGGCCAGGAGCACATGCTATTGCTGCCTACATTCTATATCCGTCGGTACGTGCCCCTCCTTGTCTCTCGAGACACAATGTGCTCATAAATCATCGATGGCGAACTCCGGATGTGTAAGTTCTGACGGAACATCCTTCTTCTTAATTCTGCGCATGTATGTACATTGATCCACAAACATCTACCTACACTACCTCCTCAACTTACGTTCAGTGTCGGGAATGTGACACATTGATGCAAGCTGTTGCGATGATTCGCCGATGAATGTGTCTGATACATTTCGTTCTGAGCCGTTACTTGCGTGTGTTGTGGTTGTGAAGGACTCAGATACGAGTGACCGAGTGAATGTTCGTGGCAAATCGCGGCGGCGCGACTCAAACGCGTCAAATCTGTTATCTATGCAGAGGGGAATGAGTGAATCGACACACAAGGGGATGCCTGCAAAGAACACGATGCACCCCAGAGCCCTCTAGCCAGGATTCTCGCTGAGGAGCTCGCATTCAAATTGGAACAGAATTCTGGTCGATGAGATGAGAGGCTTGTGTGACGTCCACACTTCCTTTCATCACCATTGGTGAGACCAAAAGACCTCTCGGCCCATTCACTCAGTGAGCCGGTGCGCTAAGCCTTCCCATCAGCGAGGCCAACTGAGGGAGGCAGGCAGGCAGGCAGATGATCATGACAGATGGAAACGACAGGCAACACATTCCCTTCCCTCCCTGCGCGGCTGTGCGGTGTGTGGGCTGTCAGATCTGACGGTGACGGGCTGAGTGAGAGGTTTTGGACGGGTGTGGCGGGCAGCAGTGAGTCGGGCCGCTTCTTGATGGCTGGCGCGAAGGCTGACGGCAAAACTCACAGACTGGGCAGTGAGTCGGCAGACTGAGAGCACAGGCACACTGATGACTGCATCCCATCTCGCTGTGTGGCTGCTTCCTTGGTGCAGGTGGTTGACCGTGTTCGTTAGATGGACAGTAGCCACGACGCCCCGGCTCCCTCCAGAAGTGGGCGATGACGCGCACAATGAACACTCACGGCTGCCATGTGTGTGTGTGGTGGTGATGGTGTGTGTGGTGCAGGTGAACGGGGCGACTTGTCGGACGATAGCTTACGAGATGTCATAGATCAGATCCAATCCGTGAGAGATGAAGGGAGGGAGGGAGGGAGGCACCAGACACACCATTTATTCACTGTGCTGCCTGCCTGCCTGTTTGTGTGCCTTCAGATCGCATGTGAGATGGCCCCGCTGGCTCGGCGGGCGAGGGAGCTGATCCAACGCAACCAACACGACAACATACAGGCTGGCCGCCGGCTGTTCGGTCTTCTGGCGAATCTCGCCGACGCCCACTCGGCCCTCAGCAATGAGCTGACACAGACGCCCACTAACCACAGCAAACGCGTAAGGCTCCACTGACCAATGGATGGCACACGCAAGCCCGTCACTCCTCTGTGTGTCTGTGTGTATGCGTTTATGTCAGCGAATGGATGTTGATGGCGAGGCGGGAAAGTGGGGGGCGGGCGGTGCTGTGGGACCGAACGAGACCGACAACAATGCACAGCAGGGCAGAGCGGTACGCACAAGTCCACACCCACACAGACACACAAACCCATTGATGTGTGTCGCTGGTCAGGTGCCTGCTGATGACGGCGGCGCCAAGAAGCGGAGATGCGTAGACATCGGCCCTGCTGCTGATGGTGGTGGGCATAGCGGAGGTACGCAAAGCATCGGCTACTGTTGGTGGACTGCATATCGTCATGGCCCTCCTGTGCTGTGTGGTGCCTTCAGGTGGGCCGGTTGGTGCGGGTGGTGCTGGGGCAGAGTCACAGCAGCAGCAGGGGGGCGCCAGCTCACTGTCGGCGGATCTGACGGCCCCAAGATCTATCCAGCACACCCACCAGCAGCAGCAGCAGCACCCCGTGTGGTACGTCCTCGCCCACCGCGGCAGCGATTTTCCGCTGCGGGATGTGCTGCAGCTGAGGAAGACCTGCAAATGGGCCAGAGGCCTCTTCGGAGCGCCTCAGCTGCGGCAGCTGCTCAGCCAATGGACAACAGACGATGAGCTCAGCGCAGAGGCGGGGCTGCGGCGGGCGGCCAACGGACAGCAGCTGCTGACCTTCGACGACCGGCAGATGGGCGAGGGTGACCTGCTGGCGGCGCTGTGTGTGGCGGAGGCGGGCGGCTGGAGTGAGATGAGCGAGGCGGTCGAGCTGGCGGGGCAGTGCGGCCGCTGCCAGCTGCCTGTGAGGCTCACTGCGGGCGATCTGCACCAATACCCAAACAAGACGGTAAGCCCACCGAGGGAGGGAGGGAGGGAGGGAGAGAGGATGGCTCTCAATGGGTGTGTGGTGTGTTGATGTGTTGTGTGTGCAGGCGTATTTGGCCGCTCCCCGTATGTTGGCTCAGCTCAAGATGGTCGGCCCCCACATCCACTTCGGCGACGGCGTGACCTTCCAGCTGTTCCAACACGGCGACACACTGCGGGCCGTCAAGGACGAGGACGGCTTCGAGATCGACATCGACCCGCCTCTCCCTCCCAACCACCCCTACCAGCAGCACCGACAGCCCCATGACCCGCCAGTCCGCAGCTGCATCACATATTGGCCGTCTACAGGCTGGGTGTCGCTGGGTGCTCGGGACTACTCGTCTGTGTCGTCGTTTGTCAAGAGCATCGTCCTCGGCCACTTCGAGGGCACTCACCAGATCAACAGCACTGGCCGCATCATCAACAGGTGAGGCGGGGTATCACTCTGTGTGGGCATTGTCACGACACACGAGTGTACGTGTGTCTTCATTGGTCAAGCATGTCGACAACAACCGGCTGCACACCATCGTGACACAGTCCCCCCACACACCAGTGGAGGGATGCACCACCCCTGACGGCGACACTTACGGTGGTCTCGTTCTGACCGACGCCCGCCACTCCTTCGTCGCGTGGATCGACATCAGGGAGCTCCGCTACAACAACAACGGTCAGTCCAGACGATACAACAAAAGAGGGAGGGAGGGTAAAAAGCATATACACACACAGCACTCACTCTCATTTGCTGTGCTCCCCTGTCACTCTTTGCAGTGCCTGTATCGGTCCACACCACCGAGTCGGCTGTGTCTGGTGTGGGTGCCTTCAACGACCGCTTCCCAGTGACCACTCGGCTGGCGCGGGCGGTGCTGGGGGCCATCATCTCGGCCAGGATCTTCGATCAATAGACAGCTGAGGTATGTCTGCACCAAACACGACTGACACGAGCAGATGAAGCCCACACACACGACAAACACAATGGTGTCATTCTATTCGTGTGGTTGTTAGGCTGGGCGGCGGTGTTGACATTAAAGCCATCAGCCCGACAGCTTCTCTTTTGTACAGTCGCTGGATGAACCCGCGGACGGTAGATAGAGGGGCGGGGACTCCCTCCCGTGGTGTGTGGTCTGCTGTGGTGCTGGCTGATGGATGGAAGGTCTGCCTCTTCCTAATGTCCGCGTGTCTGCTCACACCAGAGTGTCTCTTCGTCTGGCTCGCTCGTACCTTTCTGCCTGTCTTGCTGCTGTCCTCCCCTCTGTCTCATTGCCGTCACTCATGTGCAGTGGCCGACCAGAACGGCGATGCGTGGGTGGATTGGCGATATGTCGGTCAGAGAGAAAGAAGAGACAGCAACAGAGGTGCGTGGGGCGAGCGCAAGGCGCACACACGGGTGCCAGATTAAAGTGTCAGGGCGGTGGCTGCCAATCTTCTCGGCGAGCATTAGCACAGACAGACAGACAGACAGACAGGTGGAATGATGAATGTGTTTGCTTGCGGTGAATGAGAGAGACGGTGTGCGCATCGTTGGGCGTGTTGCATTCTCTGTATGGACGGAAACATGGGATGTGTGTGTTCGTATTGCTGATCATAATGGCTGGCTGTTGTTGTGGGCGCAATTCATGCAATGCGGCTTACTCACAAACACTCCAGACAGACAGACACTCATTCACGCAGAGAGTCGACTTTGTCTTCTGCTTGTTTTCTCTCCGTGAATGACTCACCAGAGCCACGCCAAACGACTCTGAAACGACGAAAAACCATCCATTCACTCACTCAGGCTGCGAGGCTCTTGAATGTCTCCTGAGTGTCTGATTAACCGTTGGTCTCCCAGCCGCTGTAAGCTTCATGCTCACAAAAGTAGCTGCCTGCCTGCCTGCACTCACGCCGGATCGAATGTATCACTTCGTCATGCCTAAGATGAAGAAGACGGCCCCGAGCACCAGCAGACCTCCAAACACACAATGCTCTTGCGTGTGTTGTGGTTGTGAAGGATTATCTCAGGTGGATTGACTGAGTGAATGTTCATTGGATGCGCGACTCAAACGCGTCGAATCTGTTGTCTATGGCAGGCAGCTGCACACTACCCTTACCCCTCCACCCCTGCCTTATACTACCTATGCCTACATGGTCGTCAATTTGTTGGCAATGCCCCTCACACGCGCCATGGCCTCTGGCAGGTCGTCCTTGGCCGCCAGCAGGGAGCTGTGGTCCTTGTCGCTCAGATACTCCAGCAGCCGACACACCTGCACCAAACACACACCCACGCACCCATGGACACACACATCCCTCTCTCTGTCTCTCTGCGCACCTCTTTGCGTGTGTGTGCGTCGGTCGTCACGTCGATGATGCCGCTGCCCTCCCCGCCGCTGCCATCGACAGCCCGCTCCACCATGCTGAGCACCGCCCCATGGGCGATCCGTGCGTCGTCGTCGTCATCCGTCAGCGGCAGCCACTCGGCCACCAGCCGCGCCATGGCAGGCCGCACTGTGTCGACGGTCAGCTGCTGCGTGAAGGCCACATACAGCTTGATCAGGGCGCAACACGCGCAGTCCGCCGCCTGTATGCCGTCAACACACACACGGAGGGCTGGTGTGGGGGTGTGACTCGGGCGTACCAGTCGTCTCTCGGGTGTCTTGCTGTGAGGGTGGGCCAGGATTGCCTCCAGCTGAGAGAGAGAGAGAGAGAGAGTGGCGTGATGTCCCTTTCTGTGTGTGTCACTCTGGACGCTTTACCTACCTTCTGGATGGCTTCGGGCAGCCGCGGCTGCAGCACCTGGGGAGCCCGATTGCCCAACACACCTGCAAGCACACAGACACACAAAAGACACAGATACCTCTTCTCGGCATATTGCTCTCCTGGCTGTCATACGCACCGATGGCAAACGCACTGGCCTGCACACGCAGGACGTCCTCGTCATACGGCTCGTCATCCGCTGCTCTCTGGGCGTCGGTGATGGCGTCACACACGACGGTGCCCATCACCACACCCATGAAGTCGGCCGCATACTGCTGTGTGTCCGGGCCGCCCAGGTCAATGGCGTCCGCAAAGATGCAGATGGCAGCCACCTAAACACCACACACACACACACACATAGATACCACACACGGGTCGCACGAGTCGGGAGCGGGGGTGACCTGTGCGAGGCTGTTGGTCTCGTTGTGGGGGTCGGCCGGGAGGATGGGCGAGGTGAGGAATGGCGAGTAGACAGGCTGCAGGTGGGCGTGGAACAGAGGGGCCACTGAGGGACCGAACACCTGATGACACATGACACAGGACACTTACACATTCGTCTCTCTGTCTGTCTGTCTGTCTGTGTGTGTGGTTGTCTGTCTGTGTGTCACTGACGGACTTTGAATGTGGCGCCCGAGATCTGCATGACGGTGTTGATGATATCCCGCTCGGGCTCCTCCTCTTCATCTTCGTCGACGTCCTGCATCCATCACACACACATACACATGTGGATGCATCAAGCGGCCGATCTCCACCCATCCACACTGGCGCTTACCTCCCACTCGTCACTGCCAGTGCCGTGTGAGGCCTTCTTGCTGCTTCCGCCCTCACTGCTGCGCAACCGAGCCAGCACCCTGCACACACACACACACACACAGAGGAGAGAGAGATTCAGAAGGAGTCAGGCACAGACACCTACCCACAGACACACAGACGTCGTACCTCTGCATAAGCTGCGCCAACGCGCCATACAGCTGCTCGACAAACGCCCTCAACTCGGGCGCGTCAAGCACACCACCACCATTCACACCCGTTGTCCTCCGCACCCGGCGTTGCAGCCGATGCAGCTGCCCCATGCAGCCGTTGACACTCTTGCAGACGTACTCGGACACCTGCACACAAAGCACACCCAACACACACGTCTGGTGTGTATGTGTTGGGTGTGGTCTGGTTTGGGGTGAGGGAGGGGAGGGGTGCATACTTGTTGGAGAGGGAGGTTGACGATAGCCTTGATGGTCGCTGCGCCGGTGAGGGCTGGCCAGAGGGTGAGGAACGACGATGGCTCGTCCAGCAGGGTGCTCAGAAAGGCCGGCACACACTGTAGACACACACACACACACACGCACAGATGAGTGTCTGTGCAGCTCTCCCTCTGTTTGTGTGTGCGTGTGTGTGTGCAGACCTCATAGGCAGCTGCTCGCACTTGTGAGAATTCGCTCTCCAGGTCGCCAGCTACAGTTTGGGCGAGCTCCTTAGCCACGCCGCTGACCTGCACACACAGACACGCCCACAGCCAACACCCGTGTGTGTTGGATGGAGGGAGGGAGGGGACGGGGAGAGGGTTGCCTTGGTTTCCATGGCTTCGGCGATGGTCTTGATGAGTGCCAAGGCGGTCTGCTTCTCCTCTACCTCAGTCTTGACACACACACGACAGACACCCATGTGTGAGTGTGTGTGAATGGCCTTCTCGCCCTCCCGTCTGCTTATCTCATGACATGACATACGGTGCTAAAGGAGACGGTTTGGAAGACCCCGCCCTCTCCCGGAATGCGCAGCTGCGTCCGGCCCTGGCTCTCAGTCACCTCCACACCCAACCGCCCACCACCGTCACCACCTGAGGTGTCTTCGTCCGCCTCACCTATCAACATCTGCACACACAGACAGACACACACACACATGGATGGATGGATGGATGGATCTCTCTCTCTGTGTGGTGGCTGTGGCTGGGGAGGGGGGGATGGGCGTGTGGTGGTTGGTTGCCTTTGGCTGCATCTTTGCGGCGGCCATGATGGAGGGCATGATTGCGGGGAGGTAGGGCTCGAAGGCCTCGCCCAAAGACTCGGCAATGTTGCCAAACGCCTGATGGATGAGGATGACCCATTCAACGATGCCCCAAGGTGCGTCTGTGTGTGTGTTTGTGTGTTTGTGTGAGTGTGTGTGTACCAACAGCACAGAGGGTCCGAAGTTGTGTGTCCGATTGGGGTCGTTTGCCGTGTGCAGACTGTACAAGGCCTCCATCAACACGGGGGCGTCCTGCACACACACACACACAAACCAACCACACACACGCGCGTCTGGCTGTGTGTGTGTGGGTGTGTGTCTGTGTGTATATACGCACCTGTGAGAATTGCTCCGGCCCTGCCGCTACGGCGAGGTGGCCCGCCAGCTCGATGGCCGTCTCGCATAGAATACGCTTCCCGTGCACACCCGACTGATGGATGGCACACACACACACGACACACACACACACACACACACAGAGAGAGAGAGAGGGAGAGAGAGAGAGAGTAGAAAAGAGGGCTCTTCACGCACTGACGCACGGACCTGGTTGAGTATCTGTTTGGCGGCCGTCATGAAGGAGGGGTAGTAGGGGGCGAAGTCATCCTCGACCAACTACACAAACACATACACACACTCACATAGACAGACAGAAGGTATACCAGGGACTGATTGCGGCTGGTACCATAAAACATGTACCTGCGCAATGGTTGCTGCGAGAGCCAGGCCGGCCTCCTTCAACACACACACGACACACACACACACACACAAATGTTGTGTGTGGCCGTCTGTCTATCGGCCCTGTGTGCGCGACTGCCCACCTGCACTTGCACAGTGCCCTTCGCGAGGATGGGGATCAGCGCTATATCGCACACACACACACACACGCACATACACACACACACAGGGGGGGGCTCGATCCATCCATATGTGTGTGTGTGTGTATACGTGTATGTGGCTACCTTGGTTGACGATTGCGTCCAGGTGCGGCACCACATTGGGCGCATCGTCGTCCTCATCCAGACCGATCAACATCATCGACAGCCCGGTGAGCGCGCGGCACTGATGCCATGACACATCCACACACACGCACACACACGGGGATTTGTGTGTGGGGTGGGTGAGTGTGGCCACCGTGCCGACCTTGCAGCGGTCCTCAGGGTCTTCCTGCGCCTGTGTCAGCAGCGTCTTGAGCAGCAACTCTAACCGAGCTCGCTATAACGAATCAAGACCGACACAACACACAACACACACAACACGCACATCGACCGCCTCTTGGTGCGTGCGCTGTGCCCATCTGTGTGTGTTGATGTGAGTGAGAAGGAGAGAAGGACCTGGTAGCTGGGACCATAGTTCTCGATCTCTGTCCCCAGCAGCCCCAGAGCGGCCCACCTCACTCGGCAGTGGGGGTGCCGCAGCATCGCATACACATACTGATCCACCTGCACCCAGCAGCCGACACGAGCGCGCCATGCTGACATGAGTGCATCTGGTGTTTGTTTCTGTGTGTGCCGACCGTCTTGAGATGTGGCTTGATGACCTTGCTCCCCGCCTGGCTGTTGACCACACAGTCGAGCGCCTGCATGGCGGCATACGGCGGCTCCCAGGGATGTGTGGCGAGCCCTTGACCGCTGGGACAGCTCCGGAGGATCTCACTGGCCGTCTTGAGGACACACTCTGACACCAATGTCGCACCTGAATGGGCCGAAACACACACACGTGGGCATGTGTGTGTGTGTGTGTGTGTGGTGTGAGGTGTGTGAGGTGTGTTGACCAGGCCCGGTGAGTGTTCTGGTGAGTGCGTCGGCGGCCACACTGCCGATGGAGTCGTAGGGCTCTGTTTCATCCTCCTACACACACACACACACACACACAGGCTGGTGCAGTGACCCACCATGCGACAACACACCGACCCGTCTGAGTGCCCATGGCTCGTGCTCGCCGCCATGCTCGTCATCAGCCGTCACTTCCCCACACAAGGCGAGAAGACAGCTCACTGCCGACGACACCACAGCACCGTTCTGATGACATTAGACCACACACACACACGAACACGAGCACAGATGTCTTGGGGGCGTTCGTTGTGCACAGCCGGACGGACCTTTTTGATCCACTTGGATGAGGCCTGGCTGAGCAGCGCCACCATGATTTCCATCGCACCGCTGCGCACATCTGACACACACACACACACACACACAGGGGGGCTCCATCCATCCATATGTGTGCCCTTTGAAGACCATTACACACATAGCTACCGTGTGTGTGCTGCTTGTTGGGGAGTATCTGCAGCAGCGCCTTGACGGCCTCATCCGCACTCGCACCGAAGAACATGCTGTCGCTCTCACACATGTCAGCTGACACATGTAGTCAACACAGAGAGAGAGAGTGGGCAATGGGAGGGAGATCCCCATCCCCCACTCACTCACCGATGAGCTGCATCATCATCGGCGCGTCAGGGTGTGACAATTGCTGCAGTGTGGACGCCAGCAGCGGCTGGCTCAGGGACCGCAGGGCACTCTCAGTGGCAAAACGGTCCTGCTGCGAGTGCTTCTCGGCATCAAGCCTGACAGCATACCCACACACACACACACACCACACACACAGACTGGTGGATGGAAGCAGCCGTGCGCTCGCCCGACCAGACCACTTTCTTCCTCACCCCATGTGCAGCATTCGTGTGCAGGACGCGATTGCGTGAAATGCGGCGAGGCGGACCTTGCCGTGTTGAGCGTCGCCGTCCTGCAGCGCGCGCTGGAAGGTCGCGGCCAGGCCGGCGTGGTGCGGGAGCAGCGCAGAGAAACCTGAAGGGTATAGATATCGATGCACGGGCACACAGTGCACCAATGTAGCCCATCCAGTCTCTCTCTCTCTCTCTCTCTGTGTGTGTGTGTGTGTGTGTTTGTGACCTTGTTTGAAGTCGGCCATCCTCTGTATGAGTGTGAGTGCCGCCTGCAACTCCGCCGCCGACGATGAGCTCGACCATTGAGACAAAAGCGCCATCAAGTCGGGCCAGGTGCCTGATCCATCCATCCATCCATACACAGATGACATGCCACAGACAGACCAGCCAGCCATAAGATGCCGTGTGTGTATGTGATGTGGTGTCGGTGGTTGGGTACCATGTGTGTTGAAGAGCGTCGCGGCGACCTGCGCAGTGGCATCGGCGAGCTTGCGCTTGACGTAGGGGTCGGTCTCCTCCCTCAGTCGGGCCAGCAGCGACGCGCACACTGATGACGCCTCCTGAGCACCTGCACACACACATGGCAACAGGTGATCGGTGGATGGATGGATGGATGGATGGTTATTGCTACCGGCCCGTGTGAAGAAGTCGGGCGTCTTGCGCACAATCTGACGCAGCAACACGGCAGCAAGCGCCTTGATCTGCGCGCCGAGGGAGAATGGCGACCACATATGAGTGTTTTGACAAGTACGTGTCTGTGTGTATGCGTGTGTGTGCTTACCGCTGTGTATTGTGGATCACTTGCTGCTCCTGCATGTGCATGTGTGTTGAGAGGTCCCTCGAGCAGCTGCACGGCGATGGTGACGGGCTGCGCTGCGCTCTGCGATTCGAACCATCGCAGCGCCGCCGTGCGGCACGTTTCATCGGTGGAGAGGTAGCCCTTGAGGGCCTGATAGATAAGCATGATAAGCATGGCACACAGACAGACAGACGCAGGGAGAGATGGATGAATGGCGGTGGATGAAGGATGAGATCTCTTCATGGCTGACCGTGCTGATGTCCATTCCCACTGCACTCATCGGATGAGGCATCCTCTGTGGGATAAGTGAGGGCTGTCGCCAGAGATCTCCTTAAGTGCAAGCTCGCGAGGCATGGGGGCTTGCTGGGGCAGGAAGACGGCGAACAACTTGAAGTCAGCGCGAGGCGATGGATGTCGACCAAGACGATTCGTATGATGACGGACCGAGTCCGTGGATACTATGGCAGCGACACGTCAGTCTCACCTTCATAGCTCTCTGCAACTGAGCACGAGATTCCTCTCCCTGTGCATTGTCCCTGTGTGCCTTCCTGTGCGTGTGTGTGTGTGTGTGTGTGCAGAACACCCCGCCGGCGAGGGTGGCCACAGGAAGGGCGAAACTGCCCCCACAGCGAAGACGGAGCAAGGCCCCGGAGACACTCGCGCACAGCTCGCGCAGACGGGGCTCTTCCGCCGCTATGCCTCTCGCCTGATGGGGCCATCCAGGACCAATGCCCAGCTGACGACCCACATGAGAATCTCGGTACGGCTGTGGCTGGAGGACCAAAGGAACAAACAACGAATGAAGAGGGAGAGGGAAAGGGAGAGGGAGAGGGAGATGAAGGCTGAGGAAGGTTTTGATGCCACTGGGCCGCTTCTGGTGCCGGTTGACCCAATCAACCAGAAAGAGCAGCAGCAGCAGCAGCAGCAGCAGCAGTACGGCGCTATCATCGATGAGAAGGAGGAGCCCATCGTCGAAGACCTACCCATGGCCAATCAGGAGCAGCCGATGGAGCAGCAGCAACAGCAGCAGGAGCAGCTGCAGCAAGAAGAGCCTCTAGTCTCTGCGACAGCTCCTGCAAGCTCGGTAGGTAACGGCACCTCTTTATATGTTGTGCGGGGAGGAGTGAGAGAGGTGAGTGGTCATGTGATGTGTGTGGTGTGTGTCTCTCTCGTGCAGGGCATGTCGTGGGAGGACAGACTGGCAATCGAAGAAGAGATTCAGCAAGTGTACGTAGGCAACTCTTCTTGTGTGCACATCTCCATCTCTCTCGATGTGCTCTTGTGTGTGCAGGAAGATGGAAATGGAAATCAAACATATGGACTTCCTGCGTCTCTATGGCGAGGAGCCAAATGTTGCCACCAGAAGTGACCAGTCGGCTGCTAAGGAGATCGAGGTACACAACATTTCCCTTGGTGCATCAAGTGTCAATAATGCTCGTCGAAATGATTGCTCTCACAGGATGAGCGCCAAGAACGAAGGGCGCGAAAGCCAGGAAAGACACAGAGACGTGCCAACAAGGTACCTTTCATTCTTACCTCAATCGCCGCTGTGGATAGCTGTTGTCCATCTTTAGAAGCGTCGTTGCTCGCGCCGTGAAGACAATTCAGGAGAGACACAAGAAGGGTAAGGTAGATGGCACTTCACAGTATCGAGGTACTTGAGTCTCTGCCTGCCTGTCTGCCTGTCTGCCTGTCTGCCTGCGTGTGCTCATTCAGCGAGTCGGAGACTCCGACAGACCTTTACGGAGAACTCGACGTCGAGAAGCTCGTTCGCATGGTCGCGGTAGGCACAAATGGACGAGTCGATGTACTTCATTCCACTGGGCCCGCACTTGTAGGAGGAAGCCAGTGAAAGGAGCGCACAGGCGCCGTTTCGGGAGCAGTCACAAACACACAAACAAGCTCACAGCCGGTGCGTACGATGGTAGTACCACTTGTTCCATCCATTTGTGTCATGCCTTGTGTCTTGTGTGTCTTGTGTTGTACCCTGTGAGCAGCAAAGTTCAGACAGTATGGGCTCCGCCGCCGGGCTTCTACACGAAGCTCTCTACACCACCACACTCGTCTCACGGGCTGGCCCGGAGCGAGTCAGGGAGCTGGTCGAACCCCAAACGCCGCTACAATTACAACGCCGTGAAGGCAATCATGAGAGAAGAGAATGTACGTCTGGGCGGGGCGTATTGCCTTTCCCTCTATGCACAGACGGTCTCCCTATGTATCTCACATCTGTCTTGTCAGGTAGACATCTTTGAATCGGATGTTCTTCTGACTCCGATTCGGCGGGGGCTGGAAGGGCAGAAAGTGGGTTGCCAGCAAAACGAGCCGCCCTGGAAGCTGGGAGTGGTGGACATGAAGTAAGTCAGGTCCTGTGGTAGAGAGACACACTTTGGCACATACAAAATTACGACTGCTCGCTCTCCGTCCCTCTGTCCATGTGTTTAGGAAGGAAACCATTGCCGTGCTGAATCCGATGGTACAGGCGGAGAATGGCAAGCCACGAAACTGGACTCTCTGCCACGACGACCAGTGAGTGGGTGAATGGCTTTAACCAACGAACAAACGAATGAACGCAATGGTCTGGATGTCAGGTTTCTATCCAGAATGCGGCATTTCCTTTACGATGAAAAGTGTCGACTGGAAGGAAGAGGCAAAAGGGAGCACTTTGACAAGTGGAAGGCACAAGAGGTGGGTGAGCAAATGAAGGGTAGGCAGTGTACTCTCTCTCCTGTCCGCCTGTTGCAGGCTTCTTCTATGAGGCCGCCCGCAAACATCGAAAAGGACGCGGATCTTTATACGGTGCTTTACGCTGCCTCCTACTGCACACGGTGGTAGGGGCACAAAATGCACGTCACAGGGAGTACACACCAATACGGGGGCCTTCATGTGGCTGCATGCAGGAAGAACGTGCCTGTTGCTATTGAGCGAATCTCTGATGTGGACAAGGAAAGAATTCTGGGCGAGTTGCGTGAAGAGATGGTAGGCAACGAAGTGATAGACAAGAGCGTGTCTCCTCCTCCATGCTCATGCTGCGATGGCTGTTCTCTCTGTCTGTGTGTGCGTGCAGAACATTGCTGCGCAAAGAGGCGGAGGCGTCTATCCGGTGTTGCAAACCTTGCTCGCGACTGGCTGCCCCCGTATCGGTGGTTAGGGGGTAGCTCAGATCCTTTCCGACAAAAGTAAAAAATAACCGCGCAGATGGTGTGATTCAATCGGGTGTAGTGACCGGGGGTCCACTCGCAAACGTCGAGAATCTCGACATGCAGGCCCCATTTCGCATGTGACCCGCATATAATGAAATTGCAGAGAAGCAGCCCACCCAGATTGTGTGACACCAATGTGAACCGGCCTGGTGAGAGCCTTTCACACACCAAGCAGCAGCTCCCCGCTCGGTCACGTTCTTTCACAATTGGCACCCTTCCGACCGCACTCCGTTCTCAGCAACCAAAGCACCGCGCCG